TTCTGATTAGGAGCAATTTCCACCTACAGTTTATTCAGTAATGTGTTGTATTTTAGTCAGAGAAATGTTTTTTTTCTCCTTTGTTTTGCAAATATAAATGGCTATCCTTTACCATGGATTTCTGCTGCCATTTATGCTCGAAAATAATTCCTAAACTCGAATCAGCCCTAAAAGCATTGGTCAACTTATCCTTGAAACACAGAGGGATTTAGAATGTGTCGTGGTTTGAGACCCTCAGAAATCCAAATTTCCGAGTTCAAGCTCCCCTGCCACAATTTGCCCCAGTGTGAGAGGGTTTTCAGACAAAACACAACTCCTCGGCATTGGGGGAAGGGGAAAAAATACTTACAAGGTTTATTTACATACATGTATATATAAGTAACAACTTAGCTATTTCTTCTACGATGAAATAATATATTTACATTAGATTAAATTTCTCTTTTTCTTCAATAAGAGTCCAAGAAGAAAAGAGAAAAGTCTTTTTGCCACTTTTCAGGTCACAGTTCCTTCAAATTAGTTTCTGTGATATTAGTTAGTGCCTTTCATTTTTAAGGCAGCGGATTTGAGTATTGTAGTCAGGATTTTTCCATTCTTACTTTGTGAAAATCCCCATCCCTCGAGCCCGAGCCTTCCGGGGACTTCCTTGGAGACTTTTATTCTTCCTGAGTTAGAACATTTAGGGCAGCTTTCAGTTCAGTATTTGCCCCAAGCATCCTACCAGAGCTCCTTTACTCTGTCTCAAACTGCCAGCATAGCAGCAACAACACAGGGACAAGGCCACCTCCTCCGCATTCCATCCTAGTCCAGCTCTCAGGACATCTCTGAGCTCTCAGCTCTTCTCTCTCTCTCTCTAGCTGCTGCTGAATTTCAGGACTCCCTAAGAGTTTGGAAGTCCAACCCTCCTCTCTAGGAGGTTTCAGGGTTTTGGGAAACTAATTCAGTCTTACCCCAAAACAGCTCTGCTGAGTTTTCTCTGGTCTGTTGCCAGCTTTTGGATGTGGTGGGCGATGTGGGCCTGGAGCTTGTACTCCCTCTCCTGCAGGATCTCTCTGCCTCTTCGAGCCTGGCTCCACGCCATCTCACTGCTGCCAGCTATCTTTGTGGCTTTGAGCCACCTTTCTCTATTCAGTGCTGCTCCGCCACTGCTTTCAGTGTCTTCTGCTGCCCACTCATGGCAAGGAAATTTCCTCCAGCTCTTAGCTACAGTTTAACACTGTTCCAAGCTCCTGCAGCCCCCAGCCAGAGGGTTGGGTGGCTTTGGCCCCCCAGGGGGCTCGCTGACCCCTACCTCCTCGTGGCTCAGACCATGGCTGACTCTCTTCCAACTATGTCATCCTCCTTCTTTTCTGGTCTGTTGCAATATGTTGATTTCAAAGGAGCGAAATGTGGTTTCTAACTGGCCCTGCACCCAGAACACCACCCCCTCAGGGTTACCACTTTTTTTTAACTCCAGGGGAAAACACTTTTTTCCCCCACCACAGAATGAAAAGATTATTGTCCTCTCTTACTGGCAAGGAAATTAAGGTAGAAACAAAGTGTTAAGACTACATAAGATTTTTACTAGTGCTGGGAATAGAACCCAAATTTTTGCATCCTACTCCTGTGCATTAACCAAAGTATTATTCTTCTTTCCCTGGAGTATTTGCAGTCTTTCGTTTTCATGTTAATCAAAAGTTTTCTTGGGGGTTGGAGGAAAAACTATAAATGGAGAGTACAAATAAAACTATCTGGAATAGAGGAAAAAATCATCTGCAAAATCTGGTAATGTTAAATAGAGCAAGTAATGAGCCATGGCTGTCATGCAATAGTTTTAATAGTTTGAAGCACATATAGCACAGTGGTCCTTGATAGTTATTAGATGGCTTTAGCACTCAAACTATAGGTTGCAAAACACAAGGATCCATTCATGTCATGTGGTTTCTGCTAGTGTGAGAAAAATTTCCTTCTGAACTGAATACAAAATATTGATATTCTCGTATTGGTCCAGTAATTGTCATTAATTAATTGGTATGGATGTTTGTGAAATGCATTAAACATAACAAACACTATTCAATTGCCAAGTAATATTGTTATTGATTTACAGCACCTTATGCAAACATCAGGTCTTTAAAGAATAAGAAAAACAATAACTAGTACAGGACATGCTGGTTTTATTTTTTAAAGTTTAATTATATGGGTAAATGACAAAATAGTTAGGGTAAAATAATCTTTCAAGCCAACATTCAAAGGAAGTCAGGCAATTAGCCGTTCAGCTTTCATCTCAGAGAGTGCAATAAAAACAGAAATAGATGCGAAAAGCCACATTGCCTAGAATATCACATAGTAAAATTGATAGACAAGGTTATATATCTGAAAATTAAATATATGTTCAAGATGAACTTTCAAATGTCTACAAGGAAAGAATAGCAGAATCAAAATAACCTTCATCCACATATCTCCTAGTTTTATGGGTCACAAACCCCAGATATGCATGTAAAAACATTCTTTTACGTATGAACAGATCTCATGACTAAGTCCATAATGTCCATGGTACAAGCAGTGAGTATGTGCCTCAAGTGCACATGATGGGAAAAAAGACATGGTGTTTGCACTGCCAGAGACTGGAGATGGGACTTTCAGTACATATAAAGACCCTCTAAGAAGACGCAATTTTTTGCCAATTTCTAACTTGTTTTTTCTTTACTTCTTCATTCTGCCACCTATCAGCTGTTCTAAAATATTGCTGTATCAACCCTAAGCATTTTTATCCAAACGCAAGAGAATTTTCCTTGTGTATTTCAAACAAGGAAATGCTGGAGATTTATATCCTGTAGGAAGCAATTGTGTGTGCTTAAGTGTAAAAATTTATCTGGAGATATCCACTTTAAAAATGTGTGTATACAGCAAAGACTTTGATCTTACATCTGTCTTCTGTGGTGGCTCACACTATTTCTTCGCAATATTTAATATGCTGTCCCTACAGACTAGTTTGAGTATTAGTATGACCTTGAGCAATGAAATACAAAAAGTGAAAAAAGACTGGGTACTACACAGTTGTCAGACTGGGTCTTATATCCAGAATTATATCTCCAAGGTTGTTTGAGTCCACGATAGTGTTTTCAATTCAGGGAAAATTAGGTGCTTTCAGCTGGTGTTGTTCTCTGAGTTCCTGAAAGTTTCCAGTTCACAAGAGGTTGGAGCCATGTGCTAAATTCAATGGAAACAACAGTTCCATTATCAAAGGAGGCAGCTCTTGACTGTCTTTCATGGTAGCAATATAATACCTTTGCTCTTATTGTCAGTAAATCAGTATGTCATGTCTAATTTATAAATAACATTTCTCAGAAGGGGAAAAGAAAGAGAAGAATACACAGAGAAAAGCAAAAGGAATAAAATAAAGGAAGTGCTAAAACAAGACAGGATTTAGCTTGGAATCCCCAGAGCTCATTAACCCTTGGCTGTCTAGTTAAAGGCTGTCAGAAGGGCATTTGGAATTAATATTGTGGTTAAAGCAGTGTTTAGAATTCATATTGGCTTTCTGTATTGACTGTGATCTGTAAAAGATATAGCATTTGTAACAGTACAATGGGGGTAGAATTTAGATTACATTTTTTATTGCTGTATAATCACCTGTTGATGGGAAATGTGACTCAATAGCCTTAGATATGTCAGATGTCTATATATGTGACCATGAAAAACTGCAGACATGGTTGTGATTGGTGAGAGAGATGGAGTGCTATTTGGTAAGTCCAGTGAAGTCCAAAGGCAGTGAATATTTGAGCTCGTTTAGTCCTTGCAGTAAGGAACTATTAATATTTTGTTACTTTTAAGCATCCTATTCTCAAAAAGAAATTTAAAAATCATATTTCCATAGGGTTTTTTTCTGACTATTTGGACTTGACTTCTAAGAGGGACTTAATTGTGCTGTTCAGGATTTTTTTTCCCAAGAACTGGTTCTCAGACATCTAATATAGATGACCTGAAGGAGATTTACAGAAATGTGGGAAACGACTGGACTGTAGGCCTTGAATTTGAACAGTTGCAGCTGTGAAGTTGCAGGTTTCCATTTCTGCTCCCAACCCCCCCAAATTTTGGCAGAAGATCAAAGAACAGGCTCTACAGGAGGGAGACTCCAATATGGTACAAGTCCTTGGGGGTGGTCCATTGTTCACGTACCCTATAATTAGTAACAATGGTAAAGAGCCTGACAAATGGGAACCATTTAATTATTCTATTATTAAGGACTTGTGTCAGACCATTATGCATCATGGGGTTAGCTCGCCTTTTGCACAGTCTTTAATCAGAGGAATTTGGGCGAGTGAGCTTACTCCTCATGATATTCGCTCAGTTGCACAAGTGTGTTTTAACCTGACTCAGTTGCTGATGTTCAGAGCACATTGGAGGAGGCTAGCAGAACAGGCATTGTTGGGAAATTTGGAATGCTCTCAAGACGGCCCTAGGTTTGGTGCAGGCCTTCCTCAGTTGCCTGGGCATGAACCGCTTAATCAGCCACAATTGCAGGCTTGGCTTCATCCTCTTATTTTGCACCAAACCACAGAGCTCACTGCTCAAGTTTTGCTTCTTGTCCCTGATACAGGCAAGCCAAAGCAATTGTGGACAACTATTAAGCAAAAGCCAAATGAGCCTTATGAGCAGTTTATTGATAGATTAAGAGAAGCACTGGAAAAGCAGGTGCTTAATGTGGTGGCTCGGGATACAGTTACGTTACAGCTAACCTGAGATAATGCTAACACAGGTTGTAAACGTGCACTGCTATCTCTGTGTAGTAATGCAAGCCTGATTGATATGATAGAAACCTGTGAAAAAGTGAGTTCAATGTCTCACCAGATGGAGGCCCTGGCTACCACATTTGCAGTGGCAGTAAAGGTAGAGAAGTGTTTTCATTGTGGGCAATCTGGACATTTTAAAAAACAATGCCCACGCAGGCCCCTCACTGTGTCGAGCTCAAATTCTATGCTATTTTGCTCATGTTGCCATAGATCAGGTCATTTTGCTAAACAATGCTGCTTCAAGTTCATTCTCCAGGGACAACCACTGACTTTGGGAAATGGGAGGCGGAGCGCGAGGGGAGGTCACGCACAGACACAAGTTGCTCCCCAGAATCCATTCCAGGCTTATGCGACCAACTCACTGCAAAGACAGCCAGAAATGCTGGAGTGGATGTCGCCACAGCAGTGAAAACTACAATCAAGGACTCTAAGGTGCATAAGGCACCTTTACAAGAACATGGGCCATTAGGGTATGGTTTAAGTGCTTTACTAGTGGGACGCTCTAGCGCCACAATGAAGGGTCTTTTTGTTCTCCTGGGCGTCATTGATGCGGACTATACAGGACAAATTCAAGCCATGGTGTGGACCCCCTCCACACCGGTCGTTATACTGGCAGGGAGCAGAATAGCGCAACTGGCACCTTTCATTGCAGAGGTCCTGGTAGCGGACTCAAGGGTCTGAAATACAGGGACTTTTGGGTCTACAGGTGCTCCACAAATCTATTGGACAACAGTCATCAGTTCAGATAGGCCAACTATGACCTGTGTGCTCACACTAACACAGGGAGGTTCAAAGAGTTTGTGAATCAAGGGAATGATTGACACCGGAGCTGATGTTACCGTCATAGCACATGAAGACAGGCTGAGAGACTGACCTGCAATGTCAGCAGGAGATGCGATAGCTGGAGTAGGCGGAACTACTCAAAGCTTTCAAAGTAAATTTCCTGTACAAATTGTGAACCCTGATGGACACATAGCAACAACAAGGCCTTTTGTTGTCATGGTACCACTGAACCTGTGGGGAAGGGATGTTTTGAGTATGTGGGGAGTGTCTGTTGGAACTAACGAAAAGGGTTTTTCCTAGGGGTCACTGTGTGTGAGGGCATTAAGCAACCCCCCCTTAAGCTGCAATAGCTGACTACAACTCCTGTGTGGGTAAACCAGCGCCCCTGGCACAGGAGAAATTGCTTGCCCTCCATGAGCTGGTAAAAGAGCAATTACAGCAGGGTCATACAGAACCCTCTCATAGCCCATGGAATACTCCCGTATTTGTTATCAAGAAAAAATGGGGAAAGTGGAGGCTTCTTCATGATCTGAGGCAAATAAATCGAATTATGAAAAGTATGGGAGCATTGCAACCTGGCATGCCTTCCCCTACCATAATTCCAATTGGTTGGTACATACATGTTATTGATTTAAAAGATTACTTTTTCACCATTCCCCTACATTCTGAGGATGTTGAGAAGTTTGCCTTCTCTGTCCCAGCAATTAACAATCAGGAACCCTGTCAGTGTTATCAATGGACTGTTTAGCCTCAGGGGATGAAGAATAGTCACACCATCTGTCAGTGGTATGTAGCTCAAGCTTTGTCTGAAGTCTGGCAGCAATTTCTGCAGGTGTACTGTTATCATTATGTAGATGACATTCTTGTCGCTGCACCAAATCAAACGCAATTATGCCAGGTTAAGCCAGTAGTGGAACAGTCGATGCATGCATATGGGCTACAAATTTCTCCAGAAAAGGTGCAATCTCAAGCACCATGGAAATATTTGGGAGTCAAAATTTTGGATCAGAAAATTCAACCACAAACTGTCCAAATTTCATAAGAGGTTAAAACACTGAACGATGTACAAAAACTTGTGGGGACCGTCAATTGGATACAGCCCTTACTTAGTCTGACCGCTGCTCAATTGGTCCCTTTGTTTCAATTGTTAAAAGGTGACAGTGATTTACTCTCTCCTAGAAGCCTAACTACAGATGCAAAAATTGCGCTGTTCTTAGTAGAAAGACCAATAGAAACCAGAAAAGCATACTGCCTTGCAGAGGACCATCCTCTTAATTTGTATGTGGTGATTAATGTTTATCACCCTATTGGTCTGTTAGGACAATGGGACACCCAATGGAGAGACCCTTTGCATTTCATTGAATGGATTTTTTTACCCCACGAACCACGCAAAACTGTGAGCACCCTTGTTGAGCTAATCTGTACGGGATGGCAACATTGTCTTGAGCTTACTGGCAGAGATCCCCAGAATATTGTTTTGCCCATGCGCCAGGATTATCTGGACTAGTCTTTAGCAAACAGCATTGATCTCCAATTAGCATTGTTGCATTTTGCTGGTGAGATCTTGTTTTACATGGACTCTCACAAATTTTTGCAGCTTCGTTTGGAATTACACCTGATGGAAAGGCCCTTGTTATTCCCAGTTAAGGGACTTACATTATTTACTGATGGGTCTGGAAGGACAGGGAAAGTGGTGGTTACATGGCAAGGATAAGGTCAGTGGCATGAGCTAATAGGCCAGGAAGATGGCTCCCTTCAATTAGTAGAACTCCATGCTGTAGCAATGGTGTTCCAAAACTTTTCTAGTGTTGCCTTGAATCTGGTAACTGACTCTGCCTATGTAGCAGGAGTCCTGCAACGCCTAGATTGTGCTGCATTAAAAGAAGTAAATCACCAACAGTTATTTCATTTACTAAAGCTTCTATGGCATGAACTACAGCACCGGACACAACCCTACTGTGTTCTGCGTGTCCGTAGCCACACTGGTCTGCCTGGTTTCATTTGTGAGGGTAACCCGTGGGCCAATGCGCTGGCAGCCCCTGCATGGGCTGCTCCTGTACTGGACAAATGGCAGCAAGCAGTATCTTCTCATGCCTTTTTCATCAAGGTGTACATGCTTTGCAGCGCTAGTTTGGAGTTACAAATGGTGAAGCAAGGGACATTGTTGCATCTTGTGGAGACTGTCAACGTCACACACCATTGCCCTCAACAGGTGTTAATCCCCACGGGTTATGAAGTCTGGCATACCCTTGAATTTGGTCGTCTCAAATATGTCATGTGTCAGTCGATACTCACTGAGCTGCGTTGTGGGCCTCTGTCCATGCCGGGGGAAAGAGCAGAGATGTCATTGCACACTGGCGTCAAGTTTTTGCTGCTTTAGGTGTTCCCCATCTTATCAAGACTGATAATGGCTCAGGTTACACAGTGATCAAAACTTCTAGCTTTCTTAACCAATGGGGTATTTCTCATGTCACAGGTATCCTGCATTCCCCTACAGGCCAAGTCATTGTAGAACGTACCCATCATACTCTAAAGCGAACACTTGAAAAACAAAAAGGGGGAATGCATGGTGAAACACCACAGAATTGGATATGGATAGCGGTGTACACGCTAAACCACCTCATGGTACCTCTAATGCAGAAAATCCTGTGATCTTAATGCACTTTTTATCGTTGCAGGGAGCAGGATATGAATTCCGGCCTACGGTCAGAGTCCTAGTCTGCAACCTTCAGACATGAGAATGGGAGGGTCTGTGGGAGCTTATCACCTGGGGACGTGGGTATGCTTGTGTTTCCATAGATGCTGGACCCTGGTGGTTTCCTGCCAGGTGTGTGCATCCTGCTACTGGCCGTGGTGATGATCAAAAGCGACTTGAACCCAATCAGAGGTGATCTGAACCTCCAGCAGCTGACCCTGTGGAACAGTAAAAATGTTTGGGTCACTCTGATGAAGGCCTTAAATCAGACCACCTTTTGTGCCTCGCTTGCACAACCCAAGCAGCCTTTTTATACCTGTTTAGTGGGAGCTCCACTAAATGGCAGTGAGGCCAACCTTATTGTTGTAGATGTAACCAAGACCCAGAGAACCTCGATGGCCGTTTGCAAGTCAATGAAGAATTGTACAGAATATTGGGACAGTTGGGACGATAGCCTTCCAATTACCTTACAACCCCAGGAAATAGATACATTAGGAGTTAACCAGCTAAAAGCTGTATTTACTTTAACTATATTGATGGTCATGACACACGGGAAAAGAAAGAAACAATTCTGCAAGATGTTTCCCCAAGCATGAATCTTTATCAAAATAGTTCTGCTTGGTGTCAACACCTGGGACATGAAAAAAGAAGGCCCACTTCAGGAGTTGCAGTTGCAAGAAAATTGCCTCGTGGCCTGTTCCTCATATGTGGAGATAGAGCCTGGCCAGGGATTCCCGGAAAAATAAAAGGAGGACCTTGTACCGTCAGTCACCTGGGACTGTTGACACCAACTCAGAAACTTTTATTAAATCACACTTGCCTTCATACACATGCATGATATAAGCGTAGTTTAGTATTGACACTTGCATGTAAAGACGACATATGGTTGTGGAATTGCACTGAGATTGTAGCTTCTTCAGTGCTTGCCCCTGGAGTAGCAGCAATTAAAGCATTAGAAACACTAAACAGAATGGCTTTTACAAAACTTTTCGAGTTTTGTATAAATTGGCAATGGATGTAGACAGTGTACGTCATGCTACACTTCAAAATAGAGCTGCTGTTGATTTTTTGCTTTTAGTACATGGGCACAGGTGTCGGGATTTTGAGGGAATGTGTTGTATGAATCTATCAGACCATTCTGAGTCTATATACAAGAGCATAGCAGACTTGCAGGTGGCAACTCAAAAGATAACACAGGACACAGAATTTTTTGGCATTGATGGGTGGTTGAATGGATGGGGTCTTAGTGCCTGGATCAAGCAAGTAGTAAAACTAGGCCTTTAGTGCCTCCTAGTGCTTATAATAATTGTCTTGCTACTACCGTGTTTGTTATCCTTTCTGCAAAGGGCCCTGCAGGGGATGATAAACTCGGCTTTCATAGCCAAAAAACAAAAAGGAGGAATTGTGGGAAACGACTGGACCATAGGCCTTGAATTTGAGCAGTTGCAGCTGTGTAGTTGTAAGGAATGTAAACGATCCAGGATGAGAAAGCAGAAAAGGAGAAAAACTGCTGTAAATAACAGGTGCTGTTTTTGAGATTTGCCAGCACGCGAAGTGTTGACCACCTGTCAAAAGATGAGTTTAGGCGTGTGAGCAGGAGTACCTGACCAATGAAATATAATATGTTTATGCGTGGACAGAGAAAAAGAATATAAATATAAGCCTATTGTAAATAAAGATTTGTGCCTTTGCCTGCCTAATTGCTGCCTGAGCGCATTCTTGGCCATCGTCACAGAAAGACTGGAAAGGGACTTTTCACAAGAGCACGTAGTGATAGCACAAGGGGTAATGACTTTAAACTGGAATAAGGTAGATTTAGGTTAGATATCAGGGAGAAAAGCTTTACTTTGAGGATGGTGAGGCACTGAAACAAGTTGCTCAGAGAAATTGTGGATGCCCCAACCCCGAAAATCTTCAAGTCCAGGCTGGATGGGGCTCTGAACAACTCAGTCCAGTGGAAGGTTGGAATGGCAACCTCAATGGCAGTGGAGGTTGGAACTAAAAAATCTTTAAGATCCCTTCCAACCCAAAACCTTCTGTGATTCTATGAAAAAAAAGACAGCTTAAACATTTATTAGGATAAGAGTTATGTTTCCAAATGGATAATAACCTCTGATCATAACTAATGAAAAAGTTACTACTGAATCTTAAGACATTGGAGGAAATATAAGCTCTCTTGAAGTTTGTCTAGCTTTGACTTTAAGCAGGGTATGATTCAGTTAACAGAACAGATTAAAAACTAAATCTAAAAGGGTGCTAATTGTTACATTTAATGCTTATCTGAAAGGTTGTTCCATCTGAAAACAACCATTTAATGAGAAATGGAGAGTAAAGAGATGCTTATGTATATTTTTTTTGGTTTCTGTTAATAAAGCAAATTGGTAGAGGGACATAAAGTTACTCTTAGATTGTTGAGATCAGTATAGGGAAATGTACTAAAAATGTTATTGTTTTTTTCCTGTAACTGCAGAAAGGATGTTAGCAGCAAACCCTTGATTGTGGTGTTAGGAAAGGTAGTAGCAGATACCAACATTTTACAGTGTTTCTAAGTCCTGTCAGTTTCTACACTGACTTAAAGTTGATGGTTAACTAGAACTCAAAAAGTACACTCTTTAATTTTAAATTAAATTTTTAAATTAATTTTTTTTTTCTTTTCTTTATTTGTTTTTGTTTGGACAATTTGGTGGCTCCATTTGAAGGTGTTTCAAATTTGGTACTCATTCTATGTCTAAAATCCTGAAGACAAAATCATAAAGGTAAAAATATATGTGAGTTGATAGATGTGCTGTCTGTATTTCTGAGCTATTTAACATCTTGGCATGTGACCTGCACTGCTGAATTTGTAATATGATTTACATCATTTCAATAAATGAACAGTTTAAGGCTAAAAGCTCTGAAATGCTCGAGATAAATTTATTTAGGATGTACTGTGATGGTCATGCTGTTGTTTAATCTATACACAGCTATAACAACATTGTAATTTCCAATACAGTGCTAACTGAGATGTGGTCCTTTTTATGGTAGTTTTACCTAGTGTTGCTCAGTTTTGAGAAAAAAAGAACCTGAGAGACAAACAGACATATCTCAGAAAGCAGCTGTTTCCTCGTAAAAAATAACTTCAAAGAACTGTAAGAAAAAAGTTTGTTCCACTTTTGTCATTGATTTTCCACACTGGATGCTTTGATAAGTAAATAATCTGTGTCCAAGGCTACAAATGGGATTATTGTCTCAATCCTATCTTCTAGAGGATTGCTGTATTTCTAAACAACGTAAATCTGCTCAGGTGCTACAATGCTAAGAAGGCAGTCATAACAGTAAGAGAAAGATTCAGACATTTAAGGAATTTCTGTTGTATATAAAATCCAGACACAAGCAGAATATTCTAGTATGTAGGACACTGGTCTGGAATTAAGAATAAGAATACTTTTCCTAGATTTGACAATAATTTACAACCTTTAAGAAAATTACTAAACCATCAGCAGTTTTCAGCCATGAAATTTCAATATTTCTGTTTGGTAACTTACTTTGAGATCTATGAATATAAAGAGCAACGTAAGCTATATGCAGCCATTTTAAATCAAGTGGAATATGTGCTACACAGAACACTGCAATAGAATATCGTTCAAAGGTACCTCCTATTTAAAAAAAAAATTCCTCCTTTGCAAAATCTGTCTCTTTCCCTCTCTGTCCCTTTAAAAGATGTTTTGTTATTCTGTACAAAAGCATATTTTCCTTTAGAAACATTTTTAAGGTAAGCTTGATGCTGAAATAATATTTTTCTGTTTTTCCAAATGCCAGTTCCAAATATATGT